GCCGTACACTCACGCCAAAGATAACAATCCGCAGCAAAGGCGCATTCGCCGTTAATTCCACTATGGCCCCGGGCCAATCACTCACTCAACTCCAATCATTGAACCTCATACCCGCACCGACGATCCCGGCCGTCTCGTGCTACTCCCACCACTGCGATCGTCACCCCGCTATCGCACACTCGACACGGTTCACCCAAATCCCACAGTCCGTCATGGCGATCCAACGCGCAACCGGCCAATCTATCGTCAGTCCGACATGACTTTCCAAATCGCTTCAAACACTCTGCCTAGCCACTGCTTCCCGGAAGCTGGCTTGAGAGTCGAGAACGTAAGAGAGCTTTGCGGGCGCGCTTATGGGTTTTATAGTTGCGACACAGGAGATAGAAGGGGTAGAGAACGATGGGAAGGCGGGGTTGTAGGAGGAGGAGGAGAAAACTTTGAGAAGAGCGCTCCGAGAACGCCATGTTGATCCCTCGGAACTCAAGGTTCAACCAATCAGACTCGTCGCGCGATAGGAAGGTCCTATCGATCCACACACCTGATTGGCGAGCGGGAGTTATCGGGGGATCGACCGGGCGTCGTACGCCAGACTCATAGGGTGAGAAGAGAAAAGGCACGAGAGGTGGCGCAAGACGGGTCCAAGATTCAGATGATCAAGAAAGGGAAATGGGCGTGCAAACAGCAACATGGGGGAAAGGGAGAGAGGAAGAAACAGTTACGGGGAAAGAGAAAGAGGAGGGAGAAGGAGAGGGAGCGCGGGAGGGAGCGATGCGGGGGACAGAGAGGAGAAAAGCCTCTGCATGCGTTGTGCCATCAACAAAAAAGAAAGAAAAAGGCACCGAAACAGTTACGGCTTGCTTTTCTCCTAATTCAAAATTGAAATCACCATAGCTGCGCGCGAAAAAGCGACGAGGGAAAAAAAAATCCTTTGCCTATTCGTATTTACGTAAAATTCCGAGAGTTTTCCCTGACACGCCCAAGAACATTCACACACCCAAAAATGACACGTCGAAGTTTCGCTTATCCCGGAATTCCCAACTACCGAGCCCAATTCCCATGTATTTCCCGACTTTGCAAAAAGAAAAACAGAACTCAGCAGTCGAAAAAGCTCTAAAAAAAAAGAAAATGCAGCATCCGAAAACAAGATATAAAAACGGGGTTTTTCTTGGGGTTGGTAAGCAAAAGAAAGGGTACGAAAGATTGCACGGGTTCGTGAAGTGGTTCGTCACAATCAGAGCGGTATCTCGGAGTGCAGGTCTCCTTATCCAACAGCGGGTCAGTGTAGGATGCCATCTTGGCGGCAAAGGTGGAAGCCATAATCAAAACATGCAGAGCTGCAACAGGCCTCTTCCTCATGGACAAAGCGGCTGTAATTTCAACGTCGATCTTTTATCTAATTTGACAATATAGCAGCAGTGATCCTTATCTTCAGGCAAACACTGAGGAGGATAAGAAACAAGGCAACACACTACTCGTGGAAACCCGATGGGGATGAGGCGGGGGACTTTATTTCGAAGGTGGCATGGGACAAAGTCACACAACCAAAGGCGAAAGGTGGACTGAGTATCGTGGATCCAGGAAGACAGTGTCGGGGCAGAAACCCTGACAAGGGTATCTGCCCGTGTTTTTGAACGTCGAACGTTGTCTAACCTTTTTACTTGATTGGAAGACTTGATGTGATTGACGTTGCCAAAGTTTGTTCAGACCAATGCTATGACTGAGAGACTTAAACTTTTTTTGTACCTGACGTCGTTGACGCAGGACGGCATCGACATCTGTACGGGATAACGAGGGTCGGTACTGTCGTCCGTGGGTTCGACAAGGCCGCAGTAGTGTGCGATTATGGGAAAACTAAAGTTAAAACTTAGTCTACCTATAATAAGGTTCATGGGATGTGCGCTATGGCGTCATCCGGATTAAGGACACCACGACCACGCACCTTTTTCGGATGCGTCAACCGTTTCGCGCCATAGTTTGGAAGCTTGCCTCACGAGCGGCTTCTYTCTATGATACGCRGGAGGTTCGRGTYTTGCGARGTGGACGCRTCTCCACCTTGATTTTTGACGACGAGGAGTTTATACGACTCGGCCGGATAGAGGCTGAGGCCCGCGAGGGCCGACAGGTTTATCCCGGCTAAACGCACCCTCTCGAATCAGGTGCCACGGTGAGTTGTCCTTATAGTACGGTCACGCCTATGTGACTCTACAAGGGTAATAAAAACAAAAAAAAACAACAATCTTATGTAGGTAGGCCAACCAGATGGATAGTATCTGGATTACCCTGATGATAGCACTATCATGCTTATGCATTGAGGGGTGATCGATCACCTAAAAACAGATTGAACAAAGCGAAGGCCGACCACTTGAAAAGGTGTCAAGCGGAACAACGAGGGCGGGGTAACAGAAGACGAAACAGTCCCACGCCAAGTAACCTGGTGTTGGCAATGGCTACTTCGTCATTCGTGGAACAGAGAAAGTGATTATCGTTTAGGAGAATAAAGCGACTAACAAAATTACATCCCCCCCTCCAAGTAGTTATACATGGTATGGAGATGCGATCGAACGGATAATTCAAACATCGACCAGGAGCCAGATCACTTGTGATCTGCATGATACCAGTAGTATTTACTTGTAGAAGCTGTGCGTGACAGATTTTCCATCCGCGGACGGCGGTATAATTGTCTCTTCGGTCATGTAGGCGGGAAATGATAACCTTGGCAAGTCGTCTCATCAAGTCAAAATGTTGTTTATGTATTGGTTTTATTCATGAGTAGGGGATTATAAAGGGACTAGGATTATACATTCGGTTTCACGTTTGGTTGAGGCCGTCCTAGTCGACCGACGCTTGTTCGTACCAAGGAGTTCAGCGCCCTCGGAAACGAACAACGTTCGGGTCCACTTGGCGTTAACCAAGCGTACCTATACTCCAGCGAACGAGCAAACGCCCTCGGCTGACCTACCTCTGCAACTGCATGTGAAAGTTTTCGCATGTGGGTCGGTAGCTCGGTAGGGATACGCCCTGGGGGGTGGTGACAGCCCCTTAGAGAAAGTAAGATGTGCCCTGCGATAACCTATCCTGTCGTAGGGGACCGTGGGAAGTACAGCTGGCGCACCCGGCTAGAGCGGCGAAGGGACAATGCAACCTCGTTCGTCTCGGCGGTTCGCGGAATCACTTATGCATCGTCCTAAGTTGTCTCTTGATTTTGTTTTGTTTTAACTCCTGCGTGGCATAGCCGGGAGGGCCCTCGCTCACGAGGGGGCCGATGCGCTCGACAGGTGGCGCCGTTGCCGGGGATGATGACAAATTACCGTTGTCCCTGGTGGAATGACATTCGGGGAAAGGATGGTTTTAATGATTTTAAGTGTTGTGTGTTGTTTGTTTGGATTGAAAGTAGTCAGTGACTGTTAATGTTTGGAGAAAGAAAGGAAGCCCGTTTGACACTTGGACATGTGGGTTTTTGTTGTGTTGATTCACCCAAGATGACAGGAGGAAGTGCTGATCCCACAAATAGTAATGCAGTGGGTCGTCGCAACGACATCTTGGAACTCGCACGAGCCATTCGGGAAGCCCATAATCAGAAGGCGCAGCTGCCGAAGGTTCAAGTTCCCCTCTTCGATGGCACCAATGCCTCAACATGGACGGACAAGTTTGAACAATTGGGCAGTTGCTGCGAATGGTCAAGTGAGAAGATGCTTCAGATTGTGAAGCGATATTGTATGGTCGAATACAAAGAAGAAGTGTCGGAGTTGGTGCAAGCCTCGCGCGACTGGCCGGACTTCAAGGCCAAATTATTGGACAAGTACCAATTGGAGGATCAACTGCTCGACCTTGCGGACTTACGGAAAGTTAGTCGTCGGAAGTTTGGTACGGCCAAGCAGTTTCTCATAGAATTTGAACGAGTCGCGCGCTTAGTGCATAATCTTCCTGATAAGGATCGGTGCCTCATCTTCCTCGAAAACGTTTCAGAAGTTGAGCAGCGGGAACTGATGAAGGATATGACCGGACGGTACGACTGGTCAAAGATCAAGGAAAATTTGTTGGTTGGAAGCTTCGACCAGATGCTTTACCGTCTCCTGAAGCAGCAAAAGGAGGACCGCAAGAAGGAAGGGGTAAGCGCGGACAAGGATCAAGCCGTTTACAAGACCCTGACTGACATGCGGAACATGATGGCTGACATGAAGGAGGAAAGGTTAAAGCTACAAGTGATGATGGTCCAGACAAAAGGAGGAAAAAAAAAAGGGAAAGCTCCCGTTGTGGAGGAAGTGAGTAGTAGCAGCAGGGAAGAGGAAGACGAGGAGGAAGTGGAGCCCCCTCGAAAATTGACCAAGGCAGAACGGAAGACCCTGAATCAGATATGAGGAGGGCAAGGGACTAGTAAAAAGCAACGAAAGAATAATAGAGGAGGTAGACAAGGGAGTAACCAAGAACAGATGGCGCAAGCCCCTCCTCAGCAACC